ACGCCTGACGAAACCTTTCGACAGGAAATAAGCGCAATTAAAAGTCACGCCGAAGAACAATACGTTAGCGCCCTAGTGCGCTTCCATCAGCGTAGACTTGTTAGTCACAATTCACAGGACGAATGCTCTTATTTCAGTGCCTTTAGGCAAAACGGAAAGCATCCCTAAAGGTTGACTTAAGCTTTAGGCGTCTTTAATTGTAAACCGAAATATTCAAAAGCTAACAGTTACCTTTCATGAATCTTTAATTGAACATAAGGTGAACTTTAATAACGTAAATCTTTTAGCATCCTTTAAGTGGTCTCTTTTTTGGCACAAAAGAAGGTTTTTAATTAATATACATTTAATTAACCTTTAAGGTGAGAATTAAACGAGTCTCGCTGTTTTGACATCTTTAATTGACGCACTAAAGATAGTCTAATTGTAATCTGAACTGTCAATAGGAAATGCATCACAAATTAGCCAGCACTTGCGTCGGACAAGAATAGCAAATTTTGTTCCATGTGCGGCAGCAAATTTTGTCAAAATATCTGAATTGAAAGCAACGGGTTTTCATTTTCGCATCTCCTTTATAGAACGCATGGAGTGCGATGACAAGAAAGGATATATTTACTGCGCTCATTGTAATGACTTCGTGTCACGTTCAACTTTCGAAAGGCATGAGCGAAAACGTAACAAGTCGAACTTGACAGATACTTTCGGGTCGACTTCAAATTCCCGTGATTTGTTTCAAGAAATTTCAAGTAAAGGGAGCATCGTATTAGAAATAGTAAGTATCTTTACACAGAGGAAAGTCCTAATTGCTTTTAAAAGTTTGTGGTAATAAGAATATTCGACTGTATTTCTAAACTTCAGCTGGTTACTAAGTAAATATCCAATAATTTCATACAGTTAAGATTGCTTTTAGATTAACTGTGATCTCCCTCAAAAGATTCCACTTAAGGTTCCAGCTTCCATCTTTTATGAACAAGTAGATTCTGTAGTATGCTTTCCAGTACAAGTAAGTAGTAAGTAAGTAGTATGCTTTCCAGTACAAAATTGAACAAAATGTGACCTTGGCAAGGTATAGTCAGTTTATAATTACATTCTATTACAATAAAGTGAAATGAGGCCTTTGTTTCAGTTGGAAACCCAACACGTGGAGTTCCCAACCCTTTTACTTCATGGACTGGTCAATAAGCAACTCTCCCTAACACACTAGCAATACATCAATATTCTCACAAATATATCAAAAAAACTGTATGAAAGGCATTTAGAAAAATAATATTGAGATCTTAGGGGGTGAAATGGGTAAATAGGGGCACATAGTATACAAGTTAAAATATTGTTTTCTGAAATTCATCTGTGAACAGGTAGATTCATAATAACAAATGAAATATTCTTCAGATTAAAAGACTGCGACTCCAGAGAGTCTGTGTATGCATGCATTAACCTAAATATTACACAGCATCATTCAACGTTCCAAATTTCAGATTCTGTTACATGTACTTCAAAGCCTTGAAAAATAAAATGAATGAGCATTGCGACAAGGAGCCTTTAACAAAAGACTTCATACATACAGTGTATTAAAAGAACAATTATAGGAAAGAACCTAAATTGACCAGAGATTAAGACTGTCTCAAAAAAATTACTCAGAAAGTTGTCAATTGCAGTCTGTACCGAACTCCAAAAACAATACTAAACAAAATAAATTGGAACAAAATATCTAGGTTTAGAGAAATGAATGTGGTCATAACCTATCCACATCTTCCTGAGGCCTGGCAATATATGAACTTTGACCTTTGCAGCCTATGCTAGGTATTGAGATTCCACTAACTGAAACCCTGACATTCTTAAAACCTTACAACAAGTATGTATGTAGAGAGAGTCTCAAACAAAAAATGACAATAAAGAGAGAGAGAGTTTGTTCTTGAAAGAGTTGAATGTCTATACCCACTTACATCTTCCTGGAGCCTGGCAATATATGGATTTTGACATTTGCAGCTTGTGCTAGGCATTGAGATTCCACTTACTGAAAAACTGACATTTTTAAAACCTTACAACCAGTATGTATGAGAGATAACTGATTTTTGACTGATATAACATAGACAGTTACTTCTTGTGGCCCCTCTCAAGTTAAGCTCTGAAAGCTTCAGTCACCATTCAGTTCTGCTAATGCCATAATTTTTTGATGTTGTTCAGTTAAGAAGCAGATACTCTCCAACTTGGCTATAGTTGTTTTGCATTCCTTTGACTTTGAATGTCAAGTGTGCCAGAGAAAAGAGAAAAGTAAATCCCTGCTCGAATACAGACACAGTCCTCTGGTGGTTACAGCCGACAACCGAAATGGGTCTGGCCTCCAGGTTTGAGACCTATTTAACGGCTCAGTGCACGTATCAAATAAAAAAAAAAGTAGGAACCATAAAGCATAAAAATAAAAACGATACGAGCATATCATTGCCGAGGTACCAAAGGGTAAGACCGAAGTATGGGCAATCTGCACTGCACCTCTCCTCGGGACGCAAAAATAAACAAGCACTGAGAGGAGCGCACAAAACTCTCCACCCAGCTGGGATTGCCTTCTCTGGGCTGACTGCATGAGGTTTGAATCCTCACAAGGGACTCAAATTCTAATGTTTTTTCTTTCACTATCCTACACAAGATACCATTAGCTCTCTGTGATCCAACTTGTCCATTGGAAGTGAAATGTCTTCTTCTGAAACATGATCCTCAAGCTGAAAAAGAAGAGTGCTTGAAGTAAATGACGTGTGCTTATAACCCAGTGGCAGATCTAGGGGAGGGCCCCCCTCCCTTATTTTGGGTAATGAAATAAATGCAGAGGGAAGAAAAGCCAGCACAAAAATACATGTACAAAACAGTTGGTTTTGCCCAGTGACCAAAAAGCAGTCACTCGTAAGCTGTACCATGCATTAAGATTACATATTTTGAAAAAGACCTGACAGGCTGAAACCTACTTTCAACTGAAACAATTGTAGCACAAGAAAATTGTGGTAACAACTGACTAGTCTACATATGAACAGTTGTTCAGTTTGGGACTGTACCAAGTGATGAGAGCCTATGTTATTGGAAGATTTTGTCATGTCTATACCCACTTTCAAAGGAAACAACAATATCACAAAGTTAAAAAATGTAAATGTAACAGAAATGTGGTCACTTGTAATGATCCAGGAGCATTAAGATCTGACTAAAACTCTGTCACTCACAACCCAAACCTTGCAGAAAGATTCCACATTCTGAAAAACCTGACATACTCAAACCTACTTTCAGTTTAGAAGCCATACATTCAAATGCATGAAAATTGTGTGTAAAGCCTGTCTTGTCTACTTATGTATAATTTGTCAAAAAAATTTTTTTGACACTTGTCTCTGGAGCCTGAACCAAGCATTGATACTCTATATTCTTTATATATCCTTAAGCATATCTTATTTTACTTTGGACTGAGTAAATGTTTATCAGAAAGCCAAAAAATGCTTAGTAAAAATAATGTGGTCACTCACAATGATCCAGGAGCATTAAGATGACTAAAAACCTCTCACTTGTAATCTGCAACTTGTATGGAATTTCCACAATTTGGAAAAAACCTGACATTCAAGAAGCTACAACTCATGGCCAAAGTACTCAGCACCCTGCTCTCCCCTTACTTGGTGGTTGACAACCTTACACTTAACAAAGTAAAAAGTAAATCTTGAAATAAACTCCTTAATAAGTTTCTTGCAAGTCCCACCTCCCCCCCCCCCCCCAAAACAATGTTGCCTGAAACTCTGAAACTAGTCACCATTTTGCAACACCAGGCAGATTCAGCATATTTGATTGATATTACTCATCACAACCTAAAAAATGGTCAACCAGACCAGCTATTATTAGGGAGATGACAATCAGTTAAGAATTAAGACATACTTTAATCCCTAATTGCAATGCAAATTTTTCCTTTTGCCAAACTTTCAAAAGTGTCCTTGATGTTTATGTTCATAACAAGTATCATGTATGATTACTTAAAAGTTTTAAATTCAAAATACAATCAAGGAATGAAGCTTACATTCCTTAAATGGCACTGACATGAGGTTTTTAATGACCATACTCCAGTATTCATGCGAGCTCAATGCCACAACTACTCTTTAGGTACCCCATATCTATCAAGGCCTTCTGACTAAAATGTCTTTACCCTAATAAGCCCACTCCTCTCTCCTCCCACTAAACAAAAATTCTACAGTATTGGTTGTATTGTTATTGATTTGACTGTATTAAATTGAGCTTATCTTGTTATTCATTCCTTTCTAGTCAAAATAAAAATGTATATATCCTCCACTGTTGAAAAGTAACCCGCTATTTCAAAAAAGTCCATTACCTCCCACCCCTGCCCCTACTTATTTGTTCTCGACTGAGTTCTGTTTGCATGCCATACATACAAGCTTTTTTTATCTCAAGGTTGCTATCGTAATTGTTCTAATCACACTTAAAAGAAAACAATTCACAATTGTATAAAGCGTCGATCACATATCATTACACAACAAAATCACTTTCTTGCACAAGAAATATCATCGAATTAATTAACGTCGATGCCGTGACTTGCCGCTTAGATAAATTTCCTTTGTTACAAGATATCCTTTACCTTCACACGGCTAGATTTTCAGATATATGAACAACTTACCTTGATGAAATTTAGGTATCGGTACAAAGCTGTTTGCTTGAACAAGTGAAGATCGAACGTGTAGTAGAAGTTTTCCCGCCACAAAAGGCCTCCGTGTTTCCTTGCTTCCAATTACACTTGAGTCTTCATTCGTACTCGCCAGCGTTAGCTAGGCCCAGTACACTCGGTACAGTGTATATCACAACGAGGCACAATATCAACAGGAGGTCCTTCCAGGTTTGGTATAGGATAATCGCGCGCTTTTTTGAATCTCAATTCCGTTGACGACTCTGTTAACAAAGCATCCGAACGAAGCGATTGTTGTCTGTTTATTTTACAGTTAATTCAGGGTTAGGGAAAGTAAGCGAAGGAAATGGCAGAAAGACGAGTAAACGATCGCAGACAAAATCAAGATGATAATGCGGTTCCAGCGGCAATTAGAAATAGTAACATGTCCGAAGAATGCATCGTACTGCTGGAGGAATTGATCCGCAGCAACCGGGCTCTGGCGAGCGAAAATGAAAAGCTGCGGCAGCTGCAAGAGCGCAGCAACAAATCAAACTTAGAGGCTCTTCAGCGGATTGAGAACCGTCTTGAAACTGGTGATAATGGAGCCAAAGTCCGTCGGCGCCAAAATAGACAGAAGCGAAGGACGATAGTAGTTCCACCAGCTTGTCGAGTGAGTAGAAAAACTTAACTGATGAGCATACATAATGTGATATATGTTCATGATTTGCTGAATTCAGTTCTGTTTCGTGGAAGATTTGCTTTTATGTTGAGTACGTGTTTGGCGCGCAAATTATATGCATAACTCAATTATTTAGGCGGTAATCATTTGGCATAATTATGTGTGGTTACATTTACTTGATAATCCCCTTTACCATAAACAGGTCTACCAGAAAGGTTTTTTCCTCCCTGTTCTTTCAACGAGAATAATCCAGTACGAAAATTCATGTTATTATCTTTTCTCTTGAACCCTTTTGACTTTCCCTGTTTTAATCACACAGATGGTTAAGGTTAATTGTACTTGTGTAAAAAGCGTGGAAGTAGAAATAGGGGAAAGGTGACAAATTGATTGTTGAAATTATTTCAATCTTTTAGAGAGCTGTGAGAAGGATATATAAACTTCTTTTAAAAAAAGACGACTTTGGTGGATTTTATCTTGACGAAGAGTGAGTAACATGTTATTATATTCAAAGATATTTTACTTTATATTGATTAAACCGTGAAATCAGAGTCTAAGCTGCTGCTAGAAATATTGAGATGTTATGTGAATACCTTATTGTTGTTGCTTTTGTCTAAGTGTTAATACTGTTAAAACAGAATACGTGGCTTAATCACGGTGTTTGTTTTTGTCTCAGAGTAAATTCTGATAACAACTATGGAATTTTTGAGCGCACAGTAGAGCAGGTTGTACATCAACAGGGAGGACCTGAAAAGTGTCCCTGGACAAAGGATATCATTGAAGGTAGCTATCAATAATCATAGCACATGCATTTCACTTTCATTGGGGTGTCATTATGATTTTTTGCAGGTGGGCATAAGAATTTGGCACTTAAGCGTATTGATGTATATCTCTTTTATAACAAGTTGAGTTTCACTGAAGGCCTTGGCTTAAAAACATCCAGACAAAATCGCGCTCACAGTTGGTCAATTTGTCTAGAGCCCAGTCCTTAAAGATACCCCTGCTTTTAGTCTGTACCATCAGTTAGTGTCTTTAACCACTTTTCCCTCAACAAAAATTTCATCATAGAACTAGCATTCAGTAACACAGTTAGATATCATGCAACTTCTAATGAGCACCCTCATTATATGTTTCAAATTTAGGACAAGAGGAAGGGTATATTTTTAATTTTTTCCTAATTTACATAATAACTTTCTCAAATGTTGCAGAAATTTAAATATGTTGCAAACTAGAACTTTCAGGTTAATTTCTTGTCTCTGAAACATTAAGTTCAGTGTAAATCCTCAACAAAGCTTACTTCA